ATTGATGGGCATTTAGGTCAATTTCACATCTTTGCAATTGTGAAATTTGTAGTAATAAACATATTAGCACAGATGTCTTTTTTTGTATAATAACCTCTGTCTTTTCGGTAGCTATCAAGTAGTGGGATTGCTAGATTAAATGGTAGATCTACTTTTAGTTTTTTGAGAAATCCTTATATTGATTTCCATAGAAGTTGTACTAAGTTATATTCCCATCAACAGTGATTGAGTGCTTCTTTTTTATCTTATCCATGGCAACATCTACTCTTTGTTATTGTTTAACAATGACCATTCTGACTGGCATATAGTGATATCTCACTGTGGTTTTAATTTGCAGTTTCTTGATGATTAGCTATATTGAACAATTTTAATATGCTTAATGACATTTTGTATATATTATTTTGAGAAATGTCTGTTCACTGTTCATATCATTTGCTCACTTATTATTATTATTTTTTTTTGAGTTGGAGTCTCACTCTGTCGCCCAGACTGGAGTGTAGTGGCCGCTCCCGGCCACCACGGCTTCAACCTGCTGGGCTCTGGCCATCCTTCCACCTCAGCCTTCCAAGTAGCTGGGACTATAGGCGTGCGCCACCACGCCCAGCTAGTTTTTTGATTTATTGTAGAGATGAGGTCTCGCCAAGTTGCCTAGGTGGGTCTCGAACCTGCGGGCCCAGGCAATCCACTCACTCACCTCAGCCTCCCAAAGCACGGGATTACAAACTGAGCCACCGAGCCTGGCCGTATTTTTTCTTTGATTCAAGAGTTTTTTACAGAGTGTTTTAAAGTGTTTTAGTCAAATATTTTCATTTTCTAATTTGGTTATTAACATATTTTTATTATTGTTTTCCAGAGATTTTTTTTTTCTACATTAACTTCTTGGAAGTTATTGAGGTTTTCTTTGTAGCCCAGTAGATGCTCACAAATGGATTTTTTAAAAAGGAAGTATGTCTTCTGAGAACAGAATTTAAAGTATAACTTGAAGATCACCTTTTCATTATATTGTTTTGGCTTTCCTTATTTTGCTATTCTTGATCTGTTATCTATTTTTTTGTGTGTTCTTTTCTATATCTCCTTTTAAAAATCCATTAGTCTTTACTTTATGAAAGTTGATGCACTGTTATTTGATGCATAGATATTTGTAACTGTTAAAATTGATCTTAGCCTTATAAAAGTACCATTTGTCACTTAGAGCTTTTTGTCTAGAATTCTACCTTGATTTATATTAAGCTGTGCTCCCTGATATCTTTTGTTTGCCTGTTATACCTTTGCTTATAGTTTTGAATCACTTTAAGAATGTATTTCAGAATATAGCCTAGAACTGAGTTTGCTTTGTGATTCAATCTGAAAATATTTTCTTTTAAGGTAATTAAGCTTATTTGTATGTATTAAAATGTTAGCTATATCTGGTTGGAGTGACATTGTTTTATGTAAAATGATATTTTTACGTTGTGGTCTGTTTTCTGTTCCCTTTCTTGTTTTGGTACTTCTGCCTTTTAGGAATATATATATATCTGGTGGTTGTCTTTATTTGTGTATCTTTTTCTGTTTTGTTTTGTTTTGAGTTGGAGTCTCACTCTGTCACCCAGGCTGGAGTGCAGTGTCATGCTCACAATTACCGTAGCCTCGACCTGCTGGGCTCAGGTGATCCTTAAGCCTCAGCCTTCCAAGTAACTGGAACTACAAGTGCACACCACCACACCTGACTGGCTAACTTTTTGATTTATTGTAGAGATGAGGTCTCACCAAGTTGCCCAGGGTGATCTCAAGCTCTGGGCTTGGGCAGTCCTCTGTCCTCTGCCTCCCTAAGTGCTGGGATTACAAGTGTGAACCACCACACCCAGCCCATGCATCATTTTATATATTCTTAGTGCTCCCTTTCTTGTGTCGATTTCAAATCACCTATGGTCACAAGGAGATTAACTTGTAATTTCTCCCTTCTTACCTTCCTTTCCTCTACTACCCAATTATATTGTAATTGAATGAAATATTACTATATTTCATTGTGTCAGAGATAACATCTATTGTAATATACACCATTGTTTTACATGCCACTTAGAAGAAAAGATGCTGTCAAACTGTGACACACCATTAACTGTAAGACACATTCTGATTTCAGAGATGTGAAAAAAAAGTGTTTTAAAATTAAGAGTATTATTTACAATTGTACTCTTAAATATGCTCATGTTTTTTCCTGGTTTATTAGCTCTAAATTATATTCTTTAGCTTTCAGCTATTACACATGAATCAATCAGCTTGTTTTTTCTTTTTCCAAATTTTTTCCAGTGATTGATCTCTTGGTTGGCTGAAGCTTGTCCTCTAGTAGAATCCTCAGGTAGAAGGATGATAGTATTCCCTGAGTTCTTGCATGCTTGAGACTTTATATCTGAAGCACAGCTTTACTGAATATAAAACCTTGGCTTACATTTTTTTTCCTTAAACATATGGTAGGTGTTCCTCTGTTGATTTATGGTGTTGAATGTTGTCATGCTAACCTGATTTTCTTTTAAGTAAATACAAATTTTACATAGATAAACCTCATATTGACCATTGTAGGCAAATTTTCCCATTTACATAGTATGTCTTTCAATTTACATCATTTTTATTTCAGGAATAGTTGATTGAATTATGGATTTTTTATAAAGAATCTCCAATTTAGGAAAAAGTTTCAAGAACAATACAAATACTTTTTTTTTTCTGAAGTAATTGAGAGTAAGTGTCCAACATAAATGCTCCATCATTCCTGAATCATTCAGTATATCCTGCATACAAGGAAATTCTCTTTTATAATCACAGAACAAGCATCAGAATCAGAGATTTAATACTGATAGATTATTACCATCTAATTCTCAGTCTCCCATTCAAGTTTACCAGTTGTCTCAATGATGCCCTTATAGGGAACGGACCAGTCCACGATTATGTACTGTATTTGTCACTTTGATCTCATTTAATCTGGAATAGTTCCTCAGCTTTACTTGACTTTCATGATTTGACACTTTTGAAGACCAGCTTAGTTATCTTGTAGAATGTCCCTCAATTTAAGTGTCATCATCATTAGATTCAGGTTATACATATTTGCCAGGGGTGTCACAGAAGGGAGCTGATTCTCATGGCATCCTATCAGGTGGCATATGATTTCATTTTGTTTTAGTACTGACAGTGGTCACTTTACTGCTTTTCTTTTTGTAATAAGTATTCTGTGGAGAGGCATGTAAATGTCGTATGAAATCCTATTTGTATTCAATGAGTTATAAATCATTATTCATCAGACTGCTTAAATATTTCCAGATTTGGCCACTTTGAGTCCTTCAAACTCTTTGTTCTTTTAACAGATCTCTATCATTCTTTTTTTTTTTTTTTTTTTGAGTTAGAGTCTCACTCTGTTGCCCAGACTGGAGTGCAGTGGCCACTCCCAGCCACCGCAGCCTCACCTGCTGGGCTCCGGCGATCCTTCCGCCTCAGCCTTCCAAGTAGCTGGAATTACAGGCATGCGCTACCATGCCTGGCTGATTTTTTGATTTATTGTAGAGATGAGGTCTTGCTGCCCAGGCCGGTCTCGAACCCGCGGGCTCAGTCAATCCACTCACCTCAGCCTCCCAAAGGCGCGGGATTACAGGCCGAGCCACTGAGCCCGGCTCTCTCTAAGCAGTTTTACTTTATGGCTCAATGAGATATTCCAGACTCATGTTGCACAGTCATCCTTCAGTATACATGGAGGGCTGGTTTCAGAGGCATACCAAATCTGCATTTATTCAAGTTCTGAAATCAGCCCTGCAGAACCTGTGTGTAGGAAAAGTCACCTTTCCCTATATGTGGGTTTTGCATCCCATAAATTCTATATTTTCCATTTGGGTGAAAAAAATCCGCATAGAAGTGGACCTTTGCAGTTCAAAACTGTTGTTAAGGATCAACTGTACTTTCCAGTCCTGCCATTAGCTATATCTCCAAGGAGCCCTAGTTCTTTTTAGAGAAGAATGCTGTCTGGAAACCAAGATGTGAATACTAATTGTGCTTATTGTTGCTAGAGTGTCATTTCTTCTAGAGCTAGAAAATACATGTATGCTTACATATACACATCTATGATTCGAATCCAGCATTACAAAGTTCACTTCAAGCCTTTTCATTTTTGTTACTCCTTTGTTTGACACTGAGAAATATCACTCCAGTATTTATTTGCTTGCTTATTCTGTTGTCCTTCTGAGTATCTGAGAGGAGGGGAGGTGACAAAAAGTAGAGCAACGTGGTGTTTAAAAAAAATTCAAATGGTGGTAGTATGTATTTCTTTTTCTTTTTTTTTTGAGTTGGAGTCTCACTCTGTCGCCCAGACTGGAGTGCAGTTACATGCTCCCGGCCACTGCAGCCTCAACCTGCTGGGCTCCGGCAATCCTTCGCCTCAGCCTTCCAAGTAGCTGGAACTACAGGCATGCGCTACCACGCCCGGCTAATTTTTTTATTTATTGTAGAGATGAGGTCTTGCCAAGTTGCCCAGGCGTGTCTTGAACCCGCGAGCTCAGGCAATCCACTCACCTCAGCCCCCCAAAGCACGGGATTACAGGCTGAGCCACTGAGCCCGGTTGGTATGTATTTCTTAAACTCTCTCTCTATATATATACCTTAAATTCTACATTTGTTGAGTATATGTTATAATTTTTGAAATATAAAAAATAAAATTATTAGTTAATCACAGTAATGATTACAAGAGAAACATTATAAAATTATCTCAATAGAATATACTCACTATAAATACCCAGAAAGATAATCCCACAGTGAGCATAAACTTGTGGGGCCAGGGTGTTTGGGAGCACCAATAGGAGAGAGGAAACATCTGGAATCCAAATGGTGTGTTCTAAACGATAAAGGATCTAGATTCTGGAAGATGTATTTGGAGGTGACAGCTGCTGCTCCACAAACAGCAAATCATTTCCATTCTTAATCAGAATTTTTTTGTAAGTATATTTCTAATAAAGCTAGCAATTGAGTTTATGAAAAAAAAATCTTACATTTTCATCAAAGCCTTCTCTTCTGGCTTGTTCAGTCAAATCTTCACTGACTTTGCTACTGAGAATATAAAACAAAAATCATATGAAAGTAATTTTGAAATGCCACCATAAAATACCGTCAGATCTATAGTAAGGATCTGAATTGTGTTTCTGTTCTTTCTGATAATAAATGCTAATTACTTGGAAAACATGGTCATTAATAAGTTCTCCATTAACTGTACTAAAATGTTTATGTCTTACTGCCAGAGGTATGGGTTTGGGAAGTATTTTGACACCAAAATCATTCCATAAGTGTAAATATTATATAAGTATAAATATTGTCTATGAGTATTATGTGTAAAGTGTTTGTATTGACAGCTAAGTAAATGCACTGAGTGTAGAATAGAATTCTTTCCTACCTTTTAGAGCAACTTTATTCTTCCCTTCAACAGTCTCTTAAAACTTTTTTCTGAGTAGAATGGCATGCACTACATTAATTTTAAATTAGCCAGGCACAGTGTCTTATGCCTGTAATCCCAGTACTTTGGGAGGTGGAAGGAAGAGGATTGCCTGAGCCCAGGGGTTTGGGACCAGCCTGGGCAACTTGGCGAAACTTTGTCTCCACAATAAATCAAGAAAAATTAGTGGCGCATGGTACCGCATGCCTGTGGTTCCAGCTACTTGGAAGGCTGGGGCGGGAGGATTGCCTGAGCCCAGCAAGTTGAGGCTGTGGTGGCTGTGAGTGTGCCTCTGCACCTCAGCCTGAGTGACAGAGTGAGACTCCTACTAAAAAAAAAAAAAAAAAAAAATTTTTTTAAACTGGCTTAGGGTAGGCCGAGTTCAGTGACTCAGCCTGTAATCCCAGCACTTAGGGAGGCCAAAGCAAGTGGACTGTCTGAACCCGCAGGTTTGAGACCAGCCCAGGCAACTTGGCGAGACCTTGTATCTACAATAAATAAAAAATTAGCTGGGTGTGGTAGCGTGTGCCTGTGTTTCCAGCTACTTGGGAAGTTGAGGCGGAAGGATCGCCAGAGCCCAGCAGGTCAATGTTGGGGTGGCCGTGAGTGTGCCACTGCCCTCCAGCCTGGGCTACAGAGTGAGACTCCAACTCAAAATAAATAAATAAAAGATTAGGGTTTCATGACATCCTCAGAATTAGGAGGCACTGCTGGATGTATTGACAATATATTTAGAATCACCACGTAGGATGCTGGTGGTTTTGCAATCAAAACCTTACTCATAAAGTTCCCATATAATATAGAACTTTAAAATGTTAAGCTAAAAATTTAAGAAAACTCATCTTACATTTTCTTGTCTTCATCTTTTTCAGCTTTCTTCAGTTTGAGTTTCTTGAGTGCATTTTCATAACTCTGAGCATAATTAAAAATAGTTTTTGAAAATTCATCAGAAATATATCCTGTAGTATTAATGCTGATCAAGGTAAAAGAAATATGGAATGCTTGTCTCTGGGGACTGCTATCCTAATGAAATGAGGCAAAATGCTATGACTATCCTTCACCTGTCACTATCTATGGTTTATGCCTGCTGGTGAAAAAGCAAAGGGGATTCTTGGGGACATCACACTTGAGCTTGAAAAACACAAAAATCTTTTAAAAGTATTAACACATATTAAGGATGTTGACACTTTTAATGTTTTAGTGCATGTAACCAAAGAGATAAATGATGAGGGGAGAAAAACATAATTAGGCTCATTGGGGACATCTTAACAGTTTTCTTTTACAGTTAAGCTCTTGGACAAAGTTCCTAAGCTGCACTAACCCCACAGCTACTAAGACCTTTTCTCTGTGAAATGCAGTGCTTAGAGCCATGAGTTATGCAAAGATGGCCAAGCTGGGAAGGAGGTGTGACTGGTACACACATAACTCTGCTACAGCTCAAAGTCAGGTAGGAGGAGACAGGGAAAATTTCACTCAAGGAGAAGGGAATGTTAGCAAGAGAGAGGGAAAGGGCTATGGGAATATTTTAGGGGTCAGAGAATGACCTGAGCAGAGGCCCAGAGGAGAGAGTGAGAGCAAGCATGGTGTACAGCACAGTGCTGAAAACATAAGCTAGGACTTAACGGTGTTGTAAATAGAGGCAGAAAGGTAGAAACTGTAGTAAAACGATAGTTAATAAAGACAGATTAGTGAAAAGTACTGGAAGCCCTGATCTAATGGTGGCAATTAAAATTCAGTGTCCTTGAATGCCGCAAGTTGTAAGCAAGCACTGCAGAGATAAACTACACGTAAGCCCCAACATCAGACTGTAAGTGACAAGGGAATACGTCTTTTTAAGGTGTCAGTTGAGCTAGGCATGACTGAGGGAATAGTGCTGCCATAACTAGAAACAGGAAATTAGGAAGACAAGGCACATGGAATTCTGAATTTAGATTGTTCATAGAAATGTACCAGCATCTAAATTGAAAACTTTTTGGAGGGAAGAGAGAGTTTTATTATAATATCCAACAGTGTTTTGCATTCAGGAAGTAATAACTATCTGATATATTGTACCCAAATAATTTAGGCTACATTTTAAAAGCCAGAGAGTGTATCTCACTTCCTCAATAAATAATGTAAATCTGAATAATACAGAATCAAAACAAAAAACCACGGGGATAGAAACCACCATCACTTTGGGTTTAAGTGTTATTCACGCTACAGGAGTACAAACTAAATAGGATTTGTCTTAGAATTCTAATTAGGAAAATAATTCAACTTACCTTTTTAATCATTTTACCAAGTTCAAAATCTGGCCTTCTGCCTATTGAATAATCAGCTTTCACTTCAGAATAGGTATCATTAATTATTGCCAAGAACATGTTCTGGGAGAAATAGTCAATTATTTAGTAAAAATGTAGTTTAAATGTTATTGACTTTAACAAGTGCTGTTATTTGTAAAATTAGATTTAAATTTAAAAAGTAACCCATATGCTCAAAGGTAGGGAAATAGCTATGCAGACTATACTAGAGTAGAATGAAAAATATATGGTGTGTGGACATGGGCAAATATATTTGTGGTAAATGACAAAAGCAGAATGTAAAATAATGCATATAAACTGGCTATATATACAGATTAATCAATACTACATAAGAACACTTAGATGATGTAATTACATGTTCATAAGGGTGTTTTGTTGTTTTTTATTTCTATGAAGCTGCTTAAATTCACAGTCTTACTAAGGCTCCTACAACAAGTAACATCCAGGTAACATAAATGTGGAGAGAATGTTCTTACCCCAACTAACCTCTCCACCTTGCACTGTGGCCCAGTTCTGTCACCCTAAGATTCTTGGCCACCACCAGACGATAACTTCTGTGCATGACAAAAATGTGTTTTCACAGAGGAAAGTAATTAATGCCTTGACTAGGAAGGCAAGGTCTTTGATTAGGAAGCCCCAAAGAACTTGTTTTGAGTGCATGTGAGAGACCTAGCCTAGTGATTCCTAGAAATCACAAAGGGGTGAGATTTTAGCTGTAAGGGCCCAAAAGTCATTGCAATACGGGCAGAGTATTCATGGCCAAATTCAAGTCTTATCATATGGATTGTCCCAGTCTGGAGAAATCTGGAATATCCAAATTATTTGTATAAAGGATATAGCATATTCCTGTCTAAAACACCCAAATGTTAACTACTGTGACCACATTATCCGTTGGACACCTTGAAAACATTAGTCACTGGACTAGAGAACCTGGATTACTAGAAATCCACACATTCTTAATGAATGTAAAGTGCTCTGACAGCTAAGTAGTGATACCATAGTTTCTTCTAAATGAGTACTTTCATTTTTTAATCTAAAAAAATGAGCCAAAAGAGGGTGAATATATATGGTCATTCTTACCAGCAGGACAAAGAACACAAAAAAGATGAAAGTGATGAAGTAAATAGGTCCCAAAATCCGATTGGCTTGCTGAATACCAGCAAAATTAAAATCTCCAAGAACAATTCGAAATTGTGCAAATCTTTAATGGGAAGAAAAACATTAGAAAATATAGCCCTTCATGTACATACATGGCAACTGAAGAAGGTTACTAATGTCTCTAGGATAGTCTCTAGCTTCACATGGCATGTTTTCTTTCTTTAATTATGTTATTAATAGAATTAATAGAACATAATGTAATTATGTTGAAAACTTCCCTCAAGACTAGACGTGAGGTACCTCAGTATCTGAACAGATAATGTAGGAAATGACAGCCTTCAGGTTATTTAACCGTTGTAAACTCAGTGTTCATATACAAGATTTGAATCTTGAGATACCAGTTTACTAACTAGTTTGGCAGTGGTCTCCTTGGCTATTCCTGTGCCCTTCTAAAACTTAGAATACTTTGACTTTGTTCAGCAAGTGATTTTTCAACATGTACCTAGAGCTGAGAGCACAAAACTTTCTTAAGTCGATGATGTATTTAATTTTTATCTTAACAACTCTTTTCATAAAATAAGAATGCCAGCAATTTGTCACTTGCTAGTCTTAACCAAGTGCTGGTAAAAAATCCTCAATATGATCCTAAAGTTTATTTTATCCTCTTCAGTAAGCATAAAAGCTTGATTTGATATATCATTTAAAATATTGCAAACTTCCATTTTTTCCCTAGTTTTAAAGTGGATAATGAAGAAATTAAGTTGATAATTTGAATAGCAGAGTGGTAGTAAAAGTAGAATAAAGATTTCCTATTCTGAAATTCATTTTCTGATTATTAATTACCAATGGCATAGCCAGGCACATCAGGAACACTAGTCATAAATTGTGTGTGTGTGTGTGTTCTCTATTATAAGGGAATACATTTGTAGTAGTATGTTGCTAGTCTGTATGATAGTCTGCATCCCCCCTCTATGTCTGTATCACCACCTCTTTCAGCTGAAGCAATGTCCCTGGGACTTAAAGAGCTGATGTCTTTCCCCTTCTCCAGCTTTATTTCTCTCCTTTTCCTTTGTTGGGAGGCAGACATTAAAGACTAGGACCTTTAAAAGCAACTGCATATAAAGAGGAAGTTAGAAAGTCATTGTGCATGCTCAGGGAAAGGCACAGGCTCAGAAAAAAACCTGAGAAGCCCTTAAATTTACAACTCAGGCTGATCCTTCATAAAACAATAAAAAAACATGTTTTTTAAAAATGGCAAACTCTAAGGGAAGGGGAAGAATCAGATTTCCAGAGTTATCACGTTATTAGATTCAAATGTCTGGTTTGAATTTTTGCAAAAACTCACAAAGTCACAAGACATACAAAGTTTGAATCTAAAAATTCACAAAAGGTTGGGGGCATGGTGGCTCATTCCTGTAATCCCCGCACTTTGGGAGGCCAAAGTGGGAGAATTGTTTGAGCCCAGGAGTTTGAGACCAGCCTGGGCAATACAGCAAAACCTCATCTCTACCGGAAAAAAAAAAAAAAATTAGCTGGGCATAATGGCATGTGCCTGTAGTTCTACCTACTCAGAAGGCTGAGGATGGAGGGTCACTTGGGCCCAGGAATTCAAGACTGGAATGAACTGTGATGGTGACACTGCACACCAGCCTGGGTGATAGAGTGATATATACAAAAAATCACCAGACATACAAAGAAAAAGGTAACTATGACTTATTCAATGGAAACGACAATAGATAGTTCCTGAAAAAGACCAGATGGCAGACCTTCTAGACAAAGTCTTTGAAACAACTGTTTTACACAACTAAAGGAAAACATAAAATCAAGAAAACAATGTGAGGACACAATGGAATATCAATAAAGAGAAAACCTAAAAAGAAATCAAAAGAAATTCTTGGGGTGAAAAATAAATGAAAATCCACTAGGGAGATTCAAAGGCAGATTTGAGCTGGCAGAAGAAATAATTTGTGGACTTGAAGATGTGATCATTGAAATTATTGAGTCTGAGGAACGGAAAAAAAGAGATTGAAGAAAAGTGAACAGACCCTAAAGGACCTGTGAGCCATCTCCAAGTAGGTCAACAAACATATCATGGGAGTTCCAGAAGGATGAGAGAGAGAAAGGAGCAGAGGGTTTATTTGAAGAAAGAATGGTTGAAAACTTCCCAATTTTAATGAAAGATATGAATATAAACATTCAAGGAGCTCAGTGAACTATAAAAGGATGAACTCAAAGAGACCATATAAAGATACATTTTAATCAAACTGTCAGAAGACAAAGAGGGGATCTTGTCAACAGCAATAAAGAAGTAATTCATCACACACAAGGAATCCTCAATAAGAAGAATAAGAATCAGCAGATTAAAAAAAATTTTTTTAAGATGTGGGTTACAATTCAGGGTTAGGTATACAAATATTCATTATGCAGGTACCCTTGTTGATGAAGTGTGTCCCCCCCTTGGCAGTTTTCCTCAACTGCCAATTCCACCCCGCCTCCCCTGGAAGTTTCCCACTACTGCCAATTCCTTTCTTATAGTATTATAATTGTTCAAGATCTGCTTATAAGTGAGAACATATGGTACTCTGTTCTTTGTGTCTGTGATAGATCACTCAGTATTGTAGTCTCTAAGTCCATCCAAGTTGCTGCCAAGTTCATAATTTTGTCCTTCTTTATGGCTGCATAAAATGCCATTGTGTATATGTACCACTTTAAAAAAAATCCAGTCCAGTTTCAATGTGCGGCACAGTTGGTTTCCATGGTTTTGCTATTGTGAATAGTGCTGCAATAAACATGTGTTGCAGGTATCTTTTTTGTAGAAAGAATCAGCAGATTTCTTATCAGAAACTTTAGAGGCCAGAAGGCACTGGCCTAATATATTCAGAGTGCTAATTTTAAAAAAGGTGTCAACTGAGAATCGTATATGTGGCAACAATTCTCCTTCAAAAGTGAAAGAGAAATGACATTTCCAGATAAAAGCTAAGGGAATTCATTATCACTAGACTTATTATGCAAGAAGTTCTAAAGGAAGTCCTAGAGATTGAAATGAAAACACACTAGACAGTAACTTAAAGCCATATGAAGGAATACAGATATCAGTAAATACATGGGCAATTACAAAGGCTATTATTACTATTTTTTTATTTTTTATTTTTTTGAGTTAGAGTCTTACTCTGTTGCCCAGGCTGGAGTGCAGTGGCAAACTCATGGCCACCACAGCCTCGACCTGATGGACTCAGATGATTCTTCCACCTCAGCCTTTCAAGCAGCTGGAACCACAGGCACATGCCACCATGCCTGGCTGATTTTTTTTTTAATTGTAGACACAAGGTCTCGCCATGTTGCTCAGACAATCCTCTTGCCTTTGCCTCCCAAAGTGCTGGGATTGCAGGCATGAGCCACTGCATCCAGCCAAGGCTAGTATTATTGTAACAACAGTTTGTAATTTAAATTTTTGTTCTCTACATAATTTAAAAGACTAATGCACTAAAATTATCAATTTGTTTTTGGACACAATGCACAAAGATATAATTTTGTGACATCAATAACTGAAAGGGGTGGCAGCAGATCTGTAAGAGAGGAGAGTTTTCATATGTTGTTGAATTTAATATGGTATAAATTCAAATTTATAGTGTTACAACTTTAGGATGTTAAATGTAATCCTATGTAACCACTGAATATACAAATCTCACTGTATATTCTAACAAATTATAGGATATGTACAAAAAGAAACAAAGAAATTTAAATGTTTGACTACAAAAAAGTCAACTAAACACAAAAGAGACAGTAATGCAGCAAATGAGGCTGAAAAGCTTAAGGCATATAAAAAACAAACATCAAGACTCAGCACAATGGCTCACACCTGTATTCTCAGCACTTTGGGAGGCCAAGACAGAACTGTTTGAACCCAAGAGTTCAAGGACAGCCTGGGAAATACAGTGAGACCCTGTCTCGATAGACAAAAGAAAAAAAAAATCAAAATGACAGAAGTCCCTCCTTATCATAATTACTTTATTTATTTATTTATTTATTATTTTTTTTTAGTTGGAGTCTCACTCTGTCGCCCAGACTGGAGTGCAGTGGCC